CAGGGAGCTGGATGGGAAGTGGAGGTGCCAGGATTAGAACAGGCTCCCATATGAGATCCCAGTGCATTTAAGACAAGGACTTTAGCCACTAGGCCACGCCGCCGGGCCCAAGCACAATTACTCTTAAAAGATGAAAAACACAAGAACCATAGAAAACAGAAAAGCAACATAAAGATTTTACTAATGCACTGCCTCAAAGAATTTCATTTCATTTTTCTTGTACACTTTGTGGGTATACTATTTGATTGTCTCTTCATATGCAGTGATTTATAAATATTGCCTAGGGAGACTAAAAATATCTTTCCTACAGCATAGTCAACTAAAATAGATCATTTTAATATTAAAAAAAAACCTTTTAACCTCACAATTTGTTATTGGTAAATATCATCAGTGTTGGGCCTAGCACAATGGCCTAATGGCTAAATATTTGCCTTGCAAGTGCTGGGATTCCATATGGGTGCCGGTTTGTGCCCTGGATGCTCCACTTCCCATCCAGCTTCCTGTTTGTGACCTGGGAAAACAGTAAAGGATGCCCCAAAGCCTTGGGACCCTATTCCTGCATGGGAAACCCAGAAGAAGCTCCTGGCTCCTGACTTCAGGTCAGCTCAGCTCCAGTCATCACGGACACCTGGGGAGTGAACCAGTGGGTGGAAGATCTTCTTTGTCTCTCCTTCTCTCCGTAAATCTGCATTTCCAATAAAAATAAATAATATTTTTTGAAAAAATAGTGTTGAAATTTATAAAAATTATTTCATCAAAATGAGGAAACCGGATTTCTTTCATCAATAACTCTTTTTGGCATAGGAAAGTTTCCAAGGAGTTTAGGGCTCATTTGGGATAGTGATCTGTTGAGCTACTGTCTGGGTCCTTGTCTCACACAAGAAAAACTTCAAATTCCTATTGCAAGGATTTGGAAGAGATGTGAACAGGAAGGGCAGACTGGGAAGGAAAAAGAAATAAAGAAATTTTTAAAAAGAAATAAGAAGAAAATGCTCTGTATCAGTGTCCATTAGCAGATGAGTGAATGAACGCAACATGTAAAATGAAAGTTTTGTGTCTTTGAAGGCAAGTAGTAGATTTACACTGATTCTTATCTATAGGCCTAGAAGTATCAAAAGTTAAAAACAATTCCCAGTATGTGTGACTTACAAAATAGACATGCATCACGGTCTCTTTCAGGAGAGAACAAAGTATTCCTTCCCAAAATGTGACATCTGAAAGTGGAAAGTTTGAGGGTACAGAATCAGGCATTTCCGCCTCTAATTCCAGTTGTTGGTTTCTCTTTGACGTTTGTTACTTTCACTCTTCCATTTTTCTTTTTACTCTCGCATTTCTGACTTCCAAATGATGAGTCATTTTTGCTAATGTGTAGCCAGTAGCAAAACAGAAAACTAAAAGGAAAATATGGCTTCTTATGTTTTCAAATATACTGTGTTATCTATACAGTTTCAGTGCATCTGACTTTTATTGCTAATTCCACATCTTTCACATTTTGACTACAGTTCTTGATCTTGTTTTCTAAGTGGGTTTTAAGTGTAAGGTAGATGGCCTGTGTTTATTGGGAACATGAAATGACATGATATGGTTCCTAATATTTGTACTTTACTATCTGTGGGAAATAGTTGACGTCAAGTAGGACGTGTTTGTAGAAAAGGAGCATCTGATTTGAACTGCTCATAGAACGAATGGCTTTTTTAAAGGAATGCGTCAGGTGAAATTCAAGCAACAAAATTTAAACATGATGGGGAGAGGTTGATTGCTGTAGATGTCTGTCCTCTTATTTTCAGTGAGGTGGCTGTTTTGAACCCTTAGATAAGACACCCTTTCTGCTCATGCTGATTGTGGTTAGTATTTTTGATGAGTGCCATCTTTGTGGTTTCCGCGCTACTGTTCTATTTCCTGAACATGCCTGCCTGTAATTTGTGTGTGTTTTGCACTAATATCTATAACATAAAGGACTATGAAATCATCTTTTTTTTTTTTTCATGGTTGACTGTTCACAGGGTTCTAAGACAGAGGGCACGGCGTCTTCCCCCTCACCTCCCCATGTGACTTTAATTGATCTTTATCTCAGAAGACAGCGTCTCCCGGAAGCCGCGCCTCTCGCATCATCGATGCTGAGGCCAGCTCCGTGGCTCCTGTCAGATTAGACTACGATGTCACTGTGAAAGAAAAAAAAAAATCCTGCTTTGGCTGTAATAAATGGACTGGCTGTAAAATTAAAAAAAAAAAAAAATCGGTCAGCTTGAGTCTTAGGAAAATGACCAATCACCATCTTGTGGAGCTAGTAAAACTAGCTTCCGTTTCGAGAGAAGCCTGTCTTCTGAGTATTACCCACCAAGGAAAAAATAACAAACAAGAAGGGGAAAAAATTCGACTCATCTGTCCCTCCCCATCCCACACTTCTTTGTTCCAGAGCACTCTGCACCCAGAGTAAATGCTGCAACAAAACCTGGAGGAAAATGGTTGCCTGTGTGAGAGCAGACCCCACACGTTCCGGCTGTTTTGTTTCTCCTCTTTCTCCGTGTCACCCGAATGCAGCTCTGCGGAACTCGGACAGAATTCTTTCTTTTTCCACTGCTAATGTGCAGGGATCGCCTTAATCTAGGTCATTGTTGCTGGCCCCACGTCAGCAATGCTGGCACTCTCCTATGCAGTTGGGGTTGTGTTAACAGCAACCTTGGCCCCCGGGTGTTGACAGCAGCAGCCCCTCAACCCTGGGAAGAAGAAACATGTCCACACTGGGAAGTGACCCCTGGGAGCAGAATCCCCCCAGGCACAAGTCCTATCCCTGAGTGCCCATGAGGGCGCCAGGTGGCAGCAGCTGTCACCATTGTTGACACACCTCCTTGGTTCTTTGCCTTTGCTCTCAATTGCATAAATTTTCCCTGAAAGAAATAAAACACAGTTTTCTAAAAAATCAGTTTCTTCACCAAAAATACCATGACGATGAAAACATGTATGTGTGAGGATCACATAAAGAATATTTTGCATACAGTAGGACCTGGGTGTAGCAGTTAAATGGCATTTGGGATGCCTGGGTCTCCTGCTGAAATGTCTGAGCTGCAAGCCCCAGTTGGGCTCCCTATGCCAACTTCCTGAGAATGGGCACACCTGGGAGCAACAGTGATCGTGGCTCAAGCGCTATGTCCCTGCCGCCCTCACCGGAAACCTGGATTGAATGTAGCCTTTTGGTGTCAGCCCAGCCCAGCCCTACAGCTTGTAGAATTTGGAGAGAAAAGCAGCAGATAAAATAGCTCTGTTTGCTGGTCTCCATCTCTCTTCCTGTCTTTCTGCCTTTAAAATAAATGAAGAGAAATAAAAATTTTAATATAAAATATTTGTGTGCCAGAATCTCACTAATGTAAATACATATCAGGCATGAAATTTACCCATATGTAGAATAATTCAGATCATTATTAGATATACGATGAAGGGGCTTTATTTGTATTGGACTGGGCTAATGTGGTGGACTCCTTCATTTATATTTCAGTCCTTTTTGCATATTCTTGATGTTTTCAAAAAGCTTAAAACACTTTTTTCTTTTTTGTAAGAAGCCTTAGATTTGGGGCCTGGCATGGTAGCCTAGCAGCTAAAGTCCTCGCCTTGTATGTGCCAGGATCCCATATGGGCCCCACTTCCCATCCAGCTCCCTGCTTGTGGCCTGGGAAAGCAGTCAAGAGGCTTGGGACCCTACAGCCACGTGGGAGACCCAGAAGAGGTTTCAGACTCCTGGCTTTAAATCAGCACAACTCCAGCCATTGTGGCCACCTACAGAGTGAATTATCAGACAGAAGATCTTCCTGTCTCTCCTCCTCTGTATATCTGACTTTACGATAAAAATAAAATAAATCTTAAAAAAAATAAAGCATTAGGTTTGCAGAAAAACTGAGCAGAAAGGGTAGATAGCACCTGTCAACCATCTTCCCCTGTTTCACCTATTAGTACCTTTGTGCATCAGTGCAATGCCAGCAAACAATGCTCTTTGTAGTGACCAATTATAACTATGCCTTGATTTCCTCACCTTTAATATGGAGGCGCTCAAAGAGCATCAAGGTCGCAAAATAATTCGTGCATTTGGTTACCACATTATAAAAAGCTTGTGAGATAATTTATTCCCTATTTCAAACTAGGAGGCTAAGAATATACTTGCTCTCACCTGTGTTTGCTGTCTGATGATTCTTTTAGTTCCTGGAGATTGAGGGGAACAGCAGGTGGGAAGGGAGGTCTGACAGGTCAGAGAGAGGGGAGGGAGGGCACAGACAGGAGCCCCAGAAGGAGGCAAGTCTGGGAGCCACAGCTGAAAGGATCAGGTGTGAGGGGGCTTGGCGGGGCCAAAGCTTCAGCATCTACTGGCGCTGGGTCACAGACCCAGGCTCGCATCCACTGCTCATCTCAGTGTCTCTCTGTTCTGGCAAGCCTGTAGCTCTTCGGAATGTTTCTCGTGGGATTTAATGTTGCCTAACTTGAGAATCCTTCTTTTTGGTTGTCTATTCAAATTCCTTCTTGCTTTTAGGAGGCATTGAAGAGTAGGATGCTAATGACTTCAGAAAACATATTTTTAGAAGCATTTTCTGGAATATTATTAGTAATCTTTTCAGTGCATTTCGATTTTTTGTTGTTGTTGCTTTTGCCCAAAGGAGGTACATTTCAAAATTAATGCATATGTGTCATAGAAAGGGATGCAGTCTGAGGTCATGGAATCTCTTATGCTAGTCATTAAGCTGTCAGAAATCCCTGATGCTTTAAGCTTCAGCTCCTACTTCTGGAATAAATTATTTGTGAATTTGAATTTAGAAATCAAGCCCATGCTTTTTCACACCCTCTTCTAAATGTTCATTTGAGAAGTATATTCCAATTACTCCTTGGATACCAGTATAAGTTTATGTATTCGTTTCATTAAGGATCCATAAATGTAGTCATTTGAAACAAAATTGGAACAGTTTCCTGGGACTCTGATGTTGTCTATTTTAGCACCCACCTTGACTGTTGTTTTTCAGCTGTGCAGCGGAGGGTCGGTGACTGACCTGGTAAAAGGATTCCTGAAGAGAGGAGAAAGAATGAGTGAGCCTATCATTGCCTACATTTTACATGAAGCACTCATGGTAAGGCAATTTAAGTTGTACATTAATTTTGAGGCAGCTCTAGTCAAATAAAAGATGTAAGTTCCATTCACTATACTAAGATTTATCTGTTTTTCTTTAAAAAAAGATTTATTTATCTTATTTCAAAGTCAGAGCTGCAGAGAGAGAAGAACAATGATCTTCCATCTGTTGATGGCAACAATAGCCAAAACTAGGCTTGGTCAAATCAGGTCTCCCATATGGGTGCAGGAGCCCATGCGCTTAGCCCATCTTCTATTACTCCCTCACGTACATTATCAGGGAGCAGTACTGGAAGTAGGGCAGCTAAGTCTTGAACTCGTACCCATATGGTTTGCCTGTGTTACAGGCAGCAACTTAACTTGTTATGACACAACACCAGCCCCTACTCTGGTATTTAATAACAATGAAGATAGAAATTGTGTACTTTTTATTGTTTCCCATGATTCAATGTTGTAGATATAAGGGTTCGTCCCTCCCCCTGTTCTTCCTCCCTCCCCAATTTTCTCTCCCACCCTTTTCCCATTTTAATGTCCATTAGCACAAGTTTAATTTTCTGGTGAAAATGTGTATTTTCTACTATAAAGCAGGTTAGTTGTCACTTTCTTGTAAATAGAATGGTTCCTTCTGAGGGGATCAACGCCTTGTTAAATGAAATATCTGATAAAAGCTAAGCAGTACACTGTGGCTTTGTGAATTTTTATATTTGTAGAATGAAAAGGATGCACTTTAACCTGATTGATTCAAGGGGAAATATTTAAAAGTATGAATTTCACATGGTCTGTGTTGTTTCCTACTGATTTGGGAGGAATGCGTTATCTGAAAAATATTTTTTGTCTAATGCTTGAAGAGTCATGGTGTGCCTCTCACCTTCCAGGGACTTCAACATTTGCATAACAACAAAACCATCCACAGGGATGTGAAAGGGAACAACATTCTGCTGACCACAGAGGGAGGGGTTAAACTAGTAGACTTTGGTGAGTTTCCTTTCAATGCACAGATCTGAACTGCGTAACGGGCTAGTATGATAAGATTTGATTGTTTCCCCACTTCCTCGCTTTGTGAGCATGGCAAGTAGAGGAAAATCCGTGTCATCGTGACAGATGACAGATTCCCAGAAGAGTGATGTCAGTTAATATGTACCCCAATAGCACTAACATAACAACATGGATAGTTGATCTTATCAGAAGGACAGCTTCGGAAGTCATGGGTCCAGGCCGGCAATGGCATTCCCATTGTTCCACTTAACAACGGCTTTGTGAATGCACATATGTCCAAATGCAGATTTTTTTTTCTTTATTTGAAAGAGTTACAAAAGCAGAGACATGAAGAGAGAGAGGTCTTAACTTCCCAGAACATTACAACAGCCAGGGCTGTGCTGGACTGAAGCCAGGAATCAGGAGCTTCTACCAGAGCTCCCAAATAGGTGTCAAGGCCCCAAACACTTGGACCATCTTCTATTGCTTTTTTTTTTTTATTAATAAATTCTATTTTGACATTCTTTACATAGTTAATTAGGGTAAGAAGGTTCAAGGGCTACAGGAAAGTGGATAATACTAATATGTTTTCCATATTGTTACCTTCATGTTTAAAAGGGGGGTATTAAGGGAGAAGGCCCACCCAATTTCCCACCCTCCCCAAGTCCCGGGTGTAGGGCATGCTCTGAGGTTCTTGCTCAAGTGGTTTTGATATTGCAACAGTTATGAATCGCTGTCAATCTTGCCGCTCCAAGCACTATGAGGTCTTTGAAAAATCCACTGATTGACATAGTCCATCATAGCTTAGATGGTTGGTTGACCTGTTCTGTCTTCTCTCTTTTCTTTGTTATGGTTCTGAGTCCAGCATTTAGATTAGGAAGATCTCCAAAGAAACTTCTTGTATGTGCTAACAAGTACAGGGCCTGGCACCGTCCATCGCTCCAATCAGCTGGTGGTTGCAATTCCTGGGTTGGTTCTGTTTTCACTCCCGACTTCCACCGGAACCAATGGGTGTTGCAGTCCAGTCTGGTTCTGCCCAGCACATACTTGGCCCTCACATAAACCAGCGGGAGCTGTAGCCTATGTTGGAGCGACCCACAATAACCCCAACCAGGCCCACCCCCTACCCTGGTTTGCCAGTAAGTGTAGCAGTAATCCAGTCTGTCCCACATCCCATTCCACCCCAGCCGCTGTCTTAGTTTTATGTCCTCCCGTGGAAGTGGTAACCCAAGAGGGATGAGCCCACTATTTCCCTCCCAGGCCTCTCCCACTCCCAGATTCCAGTTGATGCTGCCCAAACAAACCTCGCCCACTTTAATTTTGTTTGCACCAGTAGGAATAATCCGCCCAGCCTGGCTTTTCCCTGATCTAGTCCACATGAGGCGCACAGGTGTGGTAGCTCTGCCTAGTCTGGTCTGCCCCCATCCCAGCCCATGCTCTCCTGCGGAAGTAGCTGTCCAGCAAAGGAACCCTCCCTTATTCCCCTGCCAGCTCTGCCCACTTCCTTTCTTGTTCTCAGGCTGGTTGGGCGCTGCGGTCCCTTCTGGTACAGGCAACCTCACCTCGGCATTCCATAATGTGCACTAGTCTTTGTTGCGACCGAACCTGGCTCGACCCACACTGGTGCCTGGATTTGCCAGTGGATGATGTGGACAGATTCAGTCTGGTCTTGCCCCACGTCTGCCAACTGTATGCCAGTGGGTAGGTTTCCATGGCCTTTTCTGGGCTGTTTCCTATCATGTTTCTCGCGTTTACCTGCTGGGTCTGTGTCCTGCCAGAGGAGTTGCCCAGGCTCCTCCATCAGAACCTCTCCCAATGCCAGGTTTCACGCTTACCAGTGGATCCATGAGCCAACCCTACTCAGTCCACCTAGTGTCATAGCAGGAACTGTGGCTTTTCCTGACTGGCCTTCAACCCAATCTGTTTCTTGCTGTTGGATGTTCCAGCCCAGCCATGGTTTGTCCATACCCACGTATGGCTCACACATGGCTCAGTAGGGGTTTGAGACCCTGCCTAGTCCATCCCACATCTGCCCTGGTCCTCCAGAACACCAGGGGGAGTCAGGGTCCGGCCCAGTTCGGTGCATCCAATCCCAGTCCACACTTGTGCCAAGGGAGACTACAACTGTTTCCAGATCAGAACGCAGCCCCCTTCCAGGCCACGCGCCTCTTGGTGGGAACCTCAGCCCAGCTAGGGTTGTCCCCTTTGCTCCCCAACCGGGTCCGTTCCCAGGCATAGATCACATGCCTGCCAATGGATGCTCTGACTCAGCTTGGCACAGCCCCTCCCCTGTCCCGAACTCTGCCTTAGACACTGTGGCTTAGCGTCCCAGGCTCCCACAGACCAGCAGGTACAAGAGCCTAGCTCGGCATGACCTCTGCTCCCTCCTGGTTTCTAGTTTTACTTGTGGGCTAAGGTTTGCTCAGTCGTGCCTAATCTACTCTGTTCCATTACCAGTTGACATATTGGCCAACTGTTGGAGCTACTTGTGCAGGGCAAGCCCCAAGCCATAGCTTCTGCATGTCTGGTATTTGGTGCTCAGCATTATTAGTTATTACAAGTTTTGCTAAGGAAGAGTTACTGCCTGTTTCAGGTCCAAGAAGCACAATGGGTTCAACCTGGAGCTAATTAAGCAGCAACTCAAAGAACCAAATCCCCAGAGCTCCCCAGCCGGGCGGCCAGCAGACGGAGCCTGGCACCAATGGCGCACTGGCCGCCCGGGGAGGACGGCTCACCATGTGCCCATGGCGGCCGTCCGGGATCCAGGCATGAGACGCCCCGTCCTGAGACCCACCAGCTGCCAGGAGGCTGCTGGAGGTTTAAATAACCCAGGCCCAAGGTCGCGCCCCTCCCAAATCCCATTCACCGCCCCATGAAGGCGGCGGGTGGGCCCCGGACCTGCCCAGTCCCGGAGGCCTCCCCCCCTCGGTCTACTCACCCCGAAGGAAGCGGCCCCCGAAACCCAGCAGGCCCGGGGAGGACGGCTCACCATGTGCCCATGGCGGCCGTCCGGGATCCAGGCATGAGACGCCCCGTCCTGAGACCCACCTTCTATTGCTTTTTGCAGGCCATTAGATGGGAGATGTATTCACAGTGAAACAGCACAGGCACAAACGGACATCCATATCAGATGCTGGCATTGCAAGTAACGGCTTTACCCGTGACACCAGCCACGTTGCTACCCCTGTGGGCACATCCAGACTGTGAAATGTGGGTGAAACTCTTCCAGAGTCATTTCCTCCATCCTAAGAAGCAGGCAGCAGGAAGGATGGGCTCTGTATTCCCAGGATCCCTCTGTGTCTACTTGTAATGCTGAACCTGTCCCAAGCAGAAAGCCAACTCTGAGAAAGACAGCTCTGGCTGCGGGTCCTTGCGGACACAACTGAGCCACTAAGTCCATTGGTCTTGGAGGCTGCGTTGCCTGTGAAGCTTCAGTTACGTGAGATGCTGCGTATTCCTACTTACTATGCCAATGTTACAAAAGGCACTCTAGCCTGTACTTCTTCGGGGCCCTGACAGTCCAGTTCTGAAGAAACTTTTGCGTATTCTCTCCTCAGATCCCCCTTACAATTAGTCTGAGAGAGGGCTACCATGTTCTTGGGTTGGTTGACCTCTGCCCTTCTGTTGCTCTCCAGCTGAGTGAGGTGCCAGGTGCCTCCTCTCTACCTCTGCCTTGCACATTTCTCTATTTTTGTATTTTCCACACTGCATCATCATTCCCTAATTGGTCTGCAGATAGAGTTCAATGGACAGACAGGGACCGACTTAATTTATCTTGGTAGCCCTAACCCTCTGGGTACTCACTGACTGTGGTTGAATAGACAGATCAACTGTGAGTTCTCATTTCAGAAACTGATATGGGAGGAAAGTTCATTGATGAACTTTAGAAAATATTTTTAAGATGCAGATATATGCAAAGATTTTTAAAAGATAGTAGAAGAATAGAAATAAAGGATATTGTATTGATGCAAAAAAGAAAAATGAAGTCATATTTTTTCAGCATCTTCATTTTCCATGAACTCATTTTGAAGAGCCTTTGTGTTGCTCTCTGGTGTTTTGGTTTTGCCTAAGGATGCATTTGGAACTGCTGAGGAGGCTGGATAAGGGGTCCCCTCGCTGGAATACCTCACCTGTAACCAGGGTGGCAGTTTGCCCTTCGAGCTCTGAGCCAGGTGTTTGACTGTTTGGCTGGGTTAAGGTGTTCGTAGGGATTTCTTAAACTTCAAAACATAAAAATAAAAGACTTTTCATTGCTCCTGGGTAAGGCAGTTACTCCCCTCAGAACATACCATTGACTCTATTCTCAGACCAAATGGAGAACTTGATAGGCAACTTGACATCCAATTCCCTGGCTATAAAAGATGGTGTAATAAATATGACCAAAACTGAAAAGTCTTAAAAGGTGTACCTCAATAGATTTTTCAACCATTAAAGGGAAAAAAAATCCATAAAGGAGCAGCTCTGAGAAATGCAGCTTCCTGGGGTAGCCTTCAAAACAGACTATGTGAAAAAAATACATGTAGGTAATAAATAAGGTGGCCTTTTATATGACATTATCATAAAGTAGTCACAGGCTGCATAGTTAATGAAATAAGAGCTTGGGCTTTGGATGATCTGATTCGTACACTGGCCTGCCTGCAATAATTAGTAAAGGTTATTCAGTTGTTGGAGTGTTTGATACTAAAATGCTACTGTATTTTCATGTAACACAGTGCTAATATTTCTGTTGCCCATGATAAAAAAAAAACAGTTTCAGCTGCTTCAAAATGACTAGGAGAGTTTTATATGAAACAATACCTGAAGCGGGGGCAACTCTACCTACTAGCAAATCAAACCAGAAGTCAGTTTTCTCATTCTAAGGTTTAAATTGAATTTTCAGAGAAGGCAACATTTAGGAGTATGGGATTTGGGTATAACTTTTATTTGAATTTCTCACTTTCAAAATACAGTATGTGATCCTGATTGGATACTACTGAAGGTTTTAGAGGAATGGCAGGCAC